GTTGATGGACGGCGCAGCCGTGACCCTGCGCCCGCTGCTGCTGCTGCTCACCAACAGCTCAACAGCTGGCAAAGGTCTCTCGGCTGAATGGCACCTGCACTAGCCGTGTGCGGAAAGCCTGCTGCTATCCTCTGTGTTCATGACAGATAAACCTCCTTAGCACAGAGGTTTCTTTTCTTCTATTTCTGTTTATTGCCAACATCTGGACCAAACCTGTCATGCCATTTCTAGCAAGAAGGGGAAAAAAAAATCCCAAATTACCCGCCATGCTTTTTCACACTGTGGCTCCACAGCGCCCTTTAGCCTCTGCAGCTGAGACTGCAACAGCTCCAGGACCCACTCTGGCAGAAAAGACAAGCTGAGGAAACACCGGGGAGTAGCTCTGCCTGATCCCGAGGGAGTTTACGTCTGCGTAAGCCAGAGAAACTCCTGATGCTCAAAAATGGACCAGTAACAACTGTACCCCAACAAGGGAAAGGACTGGTACACGAAGGTGAATGATTTCCTGCCTGTGGGGCACCCGCTCTCCCTTCCAGCTGCTCTCTGCCTCGGCTGATTCAGGACCGTATCCTTTGCTGTGCTTGATCAAGTCTGAGGAAAGCTTGCCACTACCCAGGCCGAGGTGTCAGGTGGGGAACAGCTTCCTTTTGCTGAGCATTAGTGATGATACTCACTTGGAAATGAGTTTGGTTGCTGGAGACTCCTGAACTCGGGTACTGTTCTTGTGATGAGCGCAAAAGGAGGATGGGAACTGACACAGCTGCAGAGGGATGGGAAATGAGGGGGGGGGATGATCATGACCTTGCTCTTCTCTTCGAGGGCTGCTCTGCTGGAGGACAGCTCCAGGCTCAGTTCCTCTGCCAGTTACCCCACAGCAAAGGCCAGGTGTAGGAGTGCTGTAGTGGACCAGGAAGACACCTTCCCAGTAGTGGTGAAGACAAGGCACTACCAGCGTGGCCTGGTGCCGATGTATCCATGCACAGAAAGCTGCAGTCTCTACTTAGGGGACTACAGAAACAGCTGCTGTTCCAAAGAATGCTCAGGAGCTGTAGACATGAGCTTGGACGTCACATTTTGCAGACTAGCATAGAAGGTGGCATGAGTCAGCTGTATGCCAGGACCCAATCAGTCATTGACAGTCATAACGGTACAACCTAGCTGGGCTTGTTCAGAGTAATGCTTGGGACAGACTACTGCTCTTCTGTAGAGCTATTTCTTATCATGTGAAAGAGCCAAACATAAGATACTGTCGCAGAGGCAGGGGAAAGGCCACTGCTGGAGAGAAGAGAATGGTAATGAAAGCTCAAGCTCGTGGCAACAGAAGTGAAAGAAATGTTCAGGCCCACACCTACAAGAAATACCCAATGTACAGCTCAAACAAATTACTTTAATACGGTTTTCTGTCTGCCTGCAGAACAAAGCACTAGGTGGCTGCTTCTATCCGCATTTAATTCTGATGTACAAAGAGTCAGCACGTGTGTGTTAACAAGGTTCTGCCGGGCCAACTACAAATGGATGAAATTCTCTTTTGCAATAACGTACCTGATGCTACCGCAGTGGAGTTTTGGGACTGCGGCGATGAAGCCGGTGTTACCCGACAGCTGCTCCCATCAGCGTCACAGCTGGGTCAATAGCAACTGCTGGCCAAGCAAACATCTTCAGACCTCCAGCATCTGCAGATTTCTGAGTAGCCAGGAAAAAAAGTCCGTTCCTTTTTTTTTAAAAAGGGCTCACGGAGACTGGTCCTTCGGTGTCCCCTCCTTCCCTTGCTCACAGGCTTGACAACAGCATCTTGTCTTCTTGCCTCCCAGTTCTATCTCAGGCAGCAGTAACTGGTGACCAGCTTAGTTTGGTCTTTTAAGGGGGATTTACTGATCTGAGCATCCCTCCAATTCCTGCCACATTTCATTCCTTCTTCTCCCTACAAAATTTCAGCAGCAAAAGCTTGATTCATTTTCTCTGCACTTGTTGGCAAATATCATACTCAAACCCTCTGCTTCTTACCAGTATTCTGATTTTTTTAAATGCATCCAGCTTATTATAAATAAATATGCTCACAAAGCAATTACTCCTCAGCAATTGGTACAAAGTAAAAAGCCACAATCTACTGCAAACGGGAGGGCCCCTCTCTTGGTTTTAGGAAGCCTACAAAATGGTTAAATAATGACTACTTCTAATCACTTAAGAACGTGTACCATTTGCTTGGGAAATGAAAGAACCCTTGCAGCAAAGTGTAGATGGCGGATCCCCTCCCCCAATTTTCCATGAGCACCAAATCAGCTCACACAGAGCATATGCACACCAGCTGTTGTTTTTATGTCTTTATTCTCTGGGAGAGAAGTTGGTGGAGCTTATGCAAAGCAGGGAAGACAGCCCTACTTTGAGAATTGTTTCTTACGCTTCAGGGCTTCGATGGCTGATGAATTCCTGGAGCAGAGCTTGCACTTCTCCTCGCCGACTCATCTTGGTTGCCTTGCCCTGAAAGCGGCCTCGCTTCCCAGCTCCTTTGCCTCCCAGCAGCTCTGCCACCCTGCAGTAACAACAGTACAGGCTGAAGGCCACCCACTTGCAGAGAAGAGAGTGGCCTCGCCTAACCTGCTCCAGAGAGCAAACAAGGATCCATGCCCTAATTATACTGTTCAGCTGCTTAGTCTGCAACATTAGAATTCTGATTTTAAAGAAACCATAGAACACATTACCTGGGACCTAAATTCTCAACTGCTTCCACAGGTCCAGCTAGAAGAAAGAGTCCTGCTTCTTTTTCATCTCCCACAGTCAGGAACAGCAGGGTTTCCTGTGGACGGAGAGATGGATCTTGCTCCAGAATAACCAGTGCCCTCCTTGTCCGGGAAGAGGACGGAGACACTGACCACAGGACCCACCCAAGCATGCAAACAATTCAGACGTTTGCGTGCGTTACTGAGACAGAGACTCAATTTGAAGAAAGTAAAAGGGAGGGAGGCTTTTGAACCTTTTATGCTCAATCATACGTTGTGGGGGACAGAATGGGTACTGGGGTATCCTAAGTTAAAAGGATATGGTTGGCAGTTGGACTAGATGATTGTTGTAGGTCCCTTCCAACTGCAATAGTCTATTCTATTCTAAAACAGCCGATGAGGTTCTGTACAGCTCTTTGGGGGACAGGCTCTTCTACAGTGCTCTGAATTTTCACTGTTGTATTTCTTGACTGTTGAGAATTCCCCTGCAGACTGAGGCTGCTGGGGACAAAAACCTCCCGTAACTTTTGAAAGGAAACAGACCTGTAGCTTGTGACTATGGTACAAACAGAAGCCTGGCCCTGCCTGTGCTACAGCTTGAATGAAAAAGCCAGTGGTGTCAGGTTAGTCTTCATCAGTGACTCACCTCTGTCCCAATCTCATTAGCGATGATATTCATGAATTCAGAGTCACCCTCTTTCCTGTATGGATGGGTAAAAAAAACACTTCAGAAAGAAGCAAATATCCCCTCTAGAGTCCAAAATATCAACCAGAAACCAAAGGCCTGATCAGGCCTGGAGTTTTGGCCTCTTGCTGTTAGGATGGAGATTAGGTTTTTTCTATATATCTAAATCCTCATTGTGCATTCCTGAGAACATATTAGGAATTATTTAAGCATTTATCTTTACGAAATAGAGCTCCTCAGTTTTATTTGAAAATATCAAGGGCAGAGAGAAATCAGATAGACACGGTTATTTCTTAGCTGTAAAACCAGAAGTATTCAGTGACTGAATTACTAACACATTCCTTTAATTACACAACTTTCCAGCAGGCTGAGGCAGTTTAAATATTCTATTCACCTTGTTTACATTCTTCCTTGAGAAACAAGCCTGAATAGGTGTCAGAGAGATGCAACTGCCATAAAACGTGTAAGATACCATTTTACCCTTCTCCCTGAACTCCCCCATACCTGTGTAACACAAACAGCTCACTTTGAACAGGTTTGCTCTTGAAGTCCCGGGCTATCAAAACAGCAATGTCTCTAAGCAGGTTCAAGTTATTCTGAAAGAAAAGCAAAGAAATGGTACTGCAGATGGAGAAGTCAGTGTGAACACTGGGTTGTGTTCCAGAGATGGGAGCAGTTTTCATAATATCCACAAAAACCGATGTCTATGATTCAATTCCCAGTTATCATGACTAAAGCTCAGGTCTACAGGAAGCAGCCACAATCTGTTTTTCTCAGCCATCCTCATACCTTCTGAAGCAGTTTCACAGAACTCTGCAGCCTCTTCACAGCCTCTATGTGTTCACCTGGTCCATTTCTGAAAAAACAAGAAGAATTTGGATCGCCACTCTGAAGGACAAAGAAAGGATTTCTTAAAGAAGCAAAAGCAGATAACATCATAAAAAGCACCACGTAGATGTACCCTGAGGCTTATGTGGTATTTGTCAGAAGGAATAGTAAATAATCAAAGTAGAAAGGGTATTACTTGAGCAGTGAGGTTAGAGCCTTCTCAGTATTGTAACTTTGTTCGATTGACTTCAGCACTCTGTTTCCTGCCAGGAAAACCAAGTTGGTTTTGTTCTTTTTCCCTTTTTCTGTGCCAAGGAGTTTAATAACCTTAAAAAGAAAATCACCCTCGTCAGAAAAGAACAGTACTTTGCTTATACTTACACAGGTGGTCAGCTCCTACTAGACTATGGCTTGTTGTGCATATTGGCTCTCTGCCAGTGAAAATAAACTGGTTAAAATCAGCCATACGATCAACATACAAAAAAAAAAAAGGATGGTGATACAGTGGAATTTGCTAGTCATGGGCTGCACTCTGCAGTGCATCTGGATGTCTCTGCTGGGATACAGACTCCAACAAATAACTGAAAAGACAGAAACACTTAAAGGCAGCTCTAGAATTTTATCTCCACCTCCCTGCACAGAGGATTTCTCCATTCATGACAAACACTCAAAAATATCAGAGCTTTAAGCAGAGGGAACAAATGGCTAGCAACCCAGCAATGCACCGCCAAACTGGCAATACACCGCGTGCCCTCCAGAGGCATCGGCAGTTCAGAAAATAGCATTGCTACAGACAAGGGCTGAGTTCTGTTACAAAGAAAGAAAGGAGCCTGACTGACTGGACGAAGACTGCCAACCTGTGTGCGGCCCTGTTGGGGCTCACCCAGCACGGGGCTTCCACCGCCCCCTTTACCATCGGGACAATTTCCAGCAGACCCTGGATCTCAGGGACTCCTGCTGTGCCAGGTCTGAATGTGTGGAGCGAGGCTCCCGAAGGCAGCTCAGCTGCAGCCCCCCACCTGCAAGTCACTCAGGTTGGAGACATGAGTCCCACAGCACATGTTGGAGTCTACGCCTTCGATGTCAACAACTCGCACTGGCCCCACGTGGTCATCTGGCAAGCCACGGCTTCTCACCTAGCAAAAGGAGGACAATGGCAAACAAGGTGACATCCATGCTACAGTTATTTTGGTCCCATAGATATCATCAGTTCTCTCCCCACCACTCACTGTTTCAATTTCAGGGTCATCTGCAGCCAGTTCCCTCACCATCACGGGTACCCTCTCTCGGATTTTCTCATTCACACTCCTCTCCAGGGCCTCTATTTGCTCTGCTGTCATGGAGGGGGTGTCCAGCTCAATGACACTTCGCTGACGGCCCAGCTCCCTGCACCAATGAAGAACATCTGCTGCTGTAACTAAGACCAGCTGGAAGGTCCCTCTGTGCAGCGCTAAGTGCCATCCCACTGCTGGGAATGTGGTGACCGAAACAAAACATACTTCCCTCCTCTCCCTGTTATTTACAGAGCACCAGATGCATACCAAACACTTGGAGGAGGACAAGACAGAGCAAATACTTTGCACAGCTTTTCTCCAGTTCAGTCACCTCTCCCAGGCCCTCTGAGCTCAAGTGAAATGTCCAAGGGCAAACTGCTTTTGATTTATCAATGTTCAGCTCTTTGTGGCCCAGCACAGTGGCACACGCCAAACAAGGTAAGACTGGGGTCAAAAGGAGCCTTTTCCCTGCTCACCATGAAGTTGTCTTGAATCCAAACATCTGTTCTACGACGGCAGTGATGAGATGCTGTCCTGGAAGAGACGTGCAACAGCTTTGAGTGCCACTGGACACAGGAAAAGAGATTTTCAGTCAGACTGTATTTTTTCTGCTGACACTCCCCACGACATTTGCAAATGCCCAGGCATGCGCTCGGCACTGCAGGGCTTATGCTACTGCTTGGGAGCAGGCAGAAGAGAGAGCCATCGCCTCATGGGCCTTGGGATCTTGAGAGCACCATGGCACACGCTGAAGATTCTGAAGCAGGTTGAACTTTTCCTTCCAATCCTGTTCGCAGTGGGTTTGTTTACAAGCCAAGGAGAGTCCGCAGGGGAGGCGCCTGCCTTCCCAAGTGGCCCCGGGGAAGGACCGTGCATGCAGGGCTGTCGGGCTTCCCCCTCCCCTGACCAGGGTGGGGACAAGCCGGGCGCTGACCGCCCCCCCCAGCCCAGGGCCCG